GAGAGATCCAGCTGAGTATAGCAAGCAAGCAAGCATACCCGCATTCAGTTCCTTCTATTCTTGACTGAATATAACGTGGTGAGCTGTTCAAAATTCCTACCCTTTACTTCCCACAATTATGGACTGAAACCTGGAATTGTAAGTTGAAATAAACTCTTTCTCCCCTACGTTGCTTTTCCAGGATATGTTATCACAGCAGCTGAAGTACAACTAGGGAAAGAGATGGATTTGGTGTCTTTTTCATTTATAGATTTTGATATCTGAGGGATTTTTGTTTTCCTGTTCAGTTGTAGAACTGTTGTATAAGATGGACATTAATACCTTAGCAATAACATGTTTTATAATTATTTTTTTCCAGTTTTTCTTTTGGTGTGCTGAATTTTAAGTCTGTTTTTCAATACACTTGTGAATCTGTTTCTATTTTGTTGCTTTGGCTTTGGTGTAACCATGAAATGATGAAAAAGTTCTGCATTTCTGATTTAAATATTCATTATATTTTTTTCTATGAGTGTTTTGCCTGCACATATGTATATGAACTACATGTGTGCCTATTCCCACAAAGACCAGATGTCTTAGGGTTTCTGTTGCTTTGAAGAGATACCATAATCCTCAAAACTCTTATAAATGAAAACATTTAATTGGGGCTGGCTTCGAGTTTCAGAGGTTTAGTCCATTATTGTCACGATGATAAGCATGACAGTGTGTCGGCAGAGATGGTGCTGGAGAGGTTGCTGAGAGTTCTACATCTTGATTCACAGGCAACAGAAGTGAAAGTGACACTTGCCAGGCTTGAGCTTCTCAGATCTCAAAACCCACCCCCAGTGACACACTTCCTCCAACAAACCACACCTACTCCAACAAGGCCACACCTCCTAATTGTGCCACTCCCTATGGGTCTTATTCAAGCCACAGCTCAGAAGAGGATGTCAGACCTTCTAGAACTGGACTTTGTGGCAATTGAGAGCCACCACATGGATGCTTATTACCAACTCAGTTCTCTTCAAGAGCAGTAAGTGCTCTTAACCCTTGAGCCATCCTTCCAACCCCAAGTCCAGTGTTCTAAGTATCTCTTCCTCTGGCTTATTCTAATAGTTCAAAAGTCTTAAGTTTTTAATTCATTAGAAAAACTAATGGTGCATATGGTGCAAGATAAGGATCTAGTTCGTTATTTGCTGTGTATATCCAGCTTTCTAACCACTTCCCTCCTCCTATTGTGGAGTCTGGATCCGTTTTGTTTTGTTTTTTTGTTTGTGTGTTTGTTTTGTTTTTAGCCATTTGTTCTCATATGCCTATACTAGAGACCTTTCTTTTACAAAAAGAAAGGAATTGAAAAGAATAGGGGTTTAGTTTCAGTTATATATTGAGAGTACAGTCCATCATGATGTGGGAGAAACAGCAACAGGAACATAAGATGGCTGGTCACATCTATCAGCAGTATAGAAGGGGGCAAACAAGAAATGCGACTTGGCTATCAAACCTCAAGACTTAATTTTCTCCAACAAGGTTTCACTTCCTAAATGTTCCACAAGTTTCAAAACAGCACCACAATCAGGAGACCAAATATTTAAGAGCCTCTGAAGAATATTTCACAATTCAAACTACCACAATGTTCAACTTGATGAAATTTAAAAGGAGCCACTCATGTGAGGATTGATGTAGTATCCAGAGACAGTGCAGAGGAAGAATTGACCAGGTCTGACAATTTGTGAGGTGGGGGCTCAAATTTCTAGAAGGACCTGGGGTTTTAATCCAATGTTGCAAAGTCTTTGATGTTTAAAACAGAAAATCCTCAATGAGTTAAATCTTTTGGTCCACGTTTCTAGGTCCTTATAAAATGTCTCACTATCCTGAGAAGTCTACTGCCTACAAGGCTAGCTAGTTAATTCTCTGCAGTATCTCCATTCTGAAGTATTCCCAAATAAAAAGAAGATAGTGTGGTCTTCTGTATATAGGCAACAGAAATAATAAATACTGTAAATTCCTTCCTTCAACTTTATAACCTGAATATAATATCAACACAAAATAAATGATTACATTGCATTTATCATTTTTAGAAAATAATAACCAGAGATATTCAAATATGGGTCTCATGCCTAAAAGAAGAGTAAACACATCTACAGTGCAGAATCACTGACATCTTCCATCTCTCCCATTCTAGATGTCACTAAACAAAACAGAACATCTTCTTCTGAGTTCCAAGTTCTTCCTTGAAAACTTTTTGCTGTTTTTTGGTTGCTTATTATTTTTAGTGAAACACTTGACTTTTCCTTCTACACATTTAGAAAACATTCCCTGCTTTTTCTTGTAGATTATATATAGGGTTACTAATAATCTCTATATCCTCGTGTTCCCTTGGTTTCAGAGAGCTCTCAACAGCAAAAGCCTTGGTCACTATCTCTAATGCAATAATTATCACCCTTTGCTTATTTTTCCTTGCATGATTTATATTAACATGGAACTAATTTTCCTATTTCTAGCACATATGGGTCTATGTTCAGTTGCCTGGTTTCCCTTCGACATTTGATAATAGTCACAGTTGTTAGATTCTGGATCTTATGAATGGCTAATTGAAGGTAGAGCTGTTTTATAGATCTGGTCAGACTAGTTGAACCAGTCTTCCACTATCAAGACAACAATTAGAATTAGTTTTTGATAAAAGGAGTTTTTGAGTGAGAATGACATTACCTGTATACAATTTGATAAAGTACTTTGTAGATTATAGTGGACAGTAAAATAATTGTGAACATAATTGCCATCATGAACTTTGACAGCCTTAAAATTGCAAGTGTTAAAAATAAATGGTGATTTTTTGTTTAGACTACATATTCATAAGTCAAGTAAATTAGATATCTGAATGGGGTATGGGGTATCTCTACTTCTCCTTGAAAATGGAAAATAGATTGTTTGTAGTCCTTGTGGTTCTATTTTACAAAACAATAATATGTCATTGTGTGAGGACATACATAGTCACCTTTTCCAGGACTTGACAGTGAATGATGGGGAAGGGCAGATGAGGTTTGTGATGATTTATTAAGAGTGACTTAAGTGACACCAAGGGGAAATCTATTCAAGAAAGTAAATAGTGCTTTCAGAATGCTGCAAAATTAAGTCCCCCTGAAGATAGACCATAGTCAGGCAGTTCAACGTGAAGTTCTAGCTACAGTTTTCTGAAGTTATTCTGCTCTGATGGACATAGCAGCTCACTCAATGAAAAAAGAACTTTAAATGAATATGTCAATGGATAACAGGATAGAAAAGAATTCCACCAAGGCTTATCACTTGGTAATTAGCAAATCATGTCTTTTTCAGGGCATCAATTTATTTAACTTTACTTATTTTGTGCCCCTGAATGAATCCAAGGATAGTGTTTGATGATTGCATCAAGAATCAAAGGATTCATATAAACGTGTCATTCTACTGTGTGGCGAGCCACAAGAATATGTTATAAGGAGTCCCATTGTGTTTTAAAGCTATACCTTGACCAGGCCAATGGTCAAGAAAGCCATCTAGCATGGACTATTTGGTGATACACAGCTTAATATTCACTGTGCCTTTCTTGTGCTCACAATTCTCATAGAATATGTGTGTGTGTGTGTATGTGTGTGTGTGTGTGTGTGTGTGTGTGTGTGTGTGAACTTCCTGCTCAGGCCATACTTGGATAAGGTCATGTAGGCAAAGCTAAACAGGCATAGATGCATAGCTTTGTTTCTTGTGCAAATGAAGCTCACACCATCCTTTTGCCTTGAGGCCTAGGGGCTCTCCAGAGCAATTGACAGAGAACAAAAGAGGTTTTTACATATCAAGGTGGAAGGTAGGGTTGAGCAACATTCCTGAGGAGGCAAAGAATCATATGAACAAGGGAAAAAGGAACGGGCGTTTTCTGTAGAGGCAGACAGAACAGCATGACCAGGGAGAAAAGAAGAACACAGAGGTTTTGTAGATGGTAAGGCAGAACTCGTGTAGAGTTCATCAGAGCCATGAGTAGAGAACAAGTAGAGATGGAGGGCGAAGAAACAGAGGATGAAGATGAGGCTGGAAGCATAAGAGCTTAGTTATTAGCAGGACTATGGGAGACAGGATTTCATCCCAGAGAAATATAGTAGACGGACAAAGAGCTTGGTGTATCTATATTTATTCCAGCCCTGAATGCCTGACAGAGCTGCAGCTATATAGATAGAATTTTGTCTTAGAGGAATAAAGTTAACAGACATAAGAGCATAGTGTATGTAGATTTTTTTTCCCCTCAGATATCCCATGCTAGACGTAGCATCTTCCCCAGACTCTGGACCATCCATACTACGTAGTCTGAGGAGATGCAATTGATTGGTTAGTTGCAATTAATAATAACAGGGGCCATCATTTTCCCTAAAATATAACTCGAATACCATCAATAATACATTGCAACTATTTGGTTTCAAAAAGATTAGATATCTAGAATGATCAGTGGATCAATAGATATAGGTAGATAATGATTGTGATGGTAAAGAAGAAGAAAGAAAAATGGATAGATGGTAAATATATCAATCAACATGTAAATAGATACAGATAAATAGCAAATAATAGATAGGAAAGTAGTTGATAGCTAAGTAGTTAGATAGTAAATAGGTGGATGATAAATTGATAAGTTATAGGTATATGTATAGATAGATGATAGGCAGATAAATTAGATAATAAAGAGAGGTAATAGATATAGTTGGTATAGATGGGTTGATAATAGATGATAGATAGAGATTGCCTCAAACATACATGAACTAGAACTGAGTAGCAATGCAGGTTGGCTGAGTGATCCTGGACATTCTGCAACTAGGACTTGATTTCTACAATGTACTTGGCTCCACTGTCATTATTATAGTTTTATCTAAATAGAAACACTTTTGACTAAAGCACTTGGCTTTCGTGGTGATCGGGACAAGACTCATACAAACTTAAACTTGAGGTAAGTTTAATTCATATTAACTGCAACAATTGTCCTAAGGTTTCTTTCTTCTTCTGTTTTCCAGGCTTCTTGAGCACAGGGGATCAGGCTGCCAAAGGAAACTACGGGCTCCTTGACCTCATCCAGGCTCTAAGATGGACTAGCGAGAACATTGGGTTCTTTGGTGGTGACCCCTTGCGAATCACTGTGTTTGGATCAGGCGCTGGGGGTTCATGTGTCAATCTGCTGACTTTATCCCATTATTCTGAAGGTAACCGTTGGAGCAATTCAACCAAAGGTATTATGCAGGTTGCAAATTTTGACAATTTTGGTGTCTGCATGCCACCACCATCAGTACTACGTGATGCTGTGTAGATATTTCTTTGTTCCAACTGAGTGTTAGGTTGGGCTTAGTAACTGTTTAAAGCTGTTTCTTTAGCCTTTCTGTGCATGTTTACGTTTCTGTCAGACTCTTTTCTCTGTCTTCCGTGAAGCTAGGTAAGATGCTCTTCCAAGTCCACTTCATAATACTTAGCATTACAGTCATTTTCCTTTTTGCTAAAGGGTGATTTGAGGGAAAGTCAAGAGAAACTCTCAACACTGTACTTTCTGCTTATCAGTAATCAAAATTAAGTATTTTAAAAATGGGGACATCAATACTTGAAGCTATTTATTAGTATGGAACTAATGAGGCAGTCAAAAACTAGTTTGTCTGGGAACACATGAGTCTTCCTGTTGCCTAAGAAAAGAATGGATATTTGATTAGTTTGCATGCGTGATCCAAAATTGTCAAAGCATTGAGGTCACTAGTAGAGCCTTTGATTACAAAGAAAAAAAACACATTTGGTTTTGTGGTTTTTCTATTTTCAACTCAATTTTTTTTTCCTTCTAAAGCTTGGCAAAGTGGCCTGGAGCACTAGCCTTCTTTAGTCCACAAAATATTTTTATTTTGTGTAAGTGCCTGCCATCTTACCAGGCATTCAGTCACTCATTACAATTCCATTATTGACTGGATTACAGTTCCATTATTAAATGTTAGAACAGAAGAGCTATTTGAAGAAACTCACAAAGCAAGTACTTTCTGGCTATTATTTATATGCAACAAAGAAGGAAACAGAATATTCATCAACAAAGAACATCTTTGATTTTCTACTTCCTTGTTGTTATTATATGTATGAGGAAAAATTCATAGACTCTCAGTTTCCAAAAATAAAATATTTACTTTTGTAATTTGCAATTATGGATATGTGTGTGAAGGGATGGTATATTTATATAAATGCCACTGTCCACAGAGGCTACAGTCAACAGAGTCTCTGGAAATAAGAGTTACAGGTGGTTGCAAGTCGTCGGAAAAGGGTTCTGGGAACTGAGCTCTGTCCTCAGCAAGAGCATGCATTATTACATGCTCCTAACACTGAGACATCTCTCCAGCCTCAAGAACAGGCAGTATGAGCTCATAATGCAGTTTTAGTTATCAAAGATACATTTGGAATTCTAAGAGACTAGCCAGTCATTAGTAAGTAGGTCACATTTTATATAGCCTTAATTTATTATCATGGTTTACATGGCTTCTCATTTAACAACAGTAGGTTTATGATTTGAAGTAGCATGATGATAGGGATATAACATTTTTAATTGAGTAGATATACTGCTTTATAATAAAATTGCTTATTTTGAAGTGATAAAGTTAGAGTTTTTTAATTAAGCAAATTAGATTCTCCTATTCTTAGTATGAAATAAGTGCTAATATTTAGTTAAGTTAGCATTGGGCAACCTACACAGAACTCTTGGGATCATTTGATCAAATGTGGGCCCAATACCAGTGTCAGCCAGTTTCACAAGAGCACTCGATAAGGAGACGCATCAGTTCAGCAGGTGCTCATCACTTGGCAAGACACTAAGCAGGGGCAAATGGTTCAGCACAGCTGAGAGTGCTCCCTTCCATCACACTCCTTATGGAAATACATCTGTGTCTGACATGGACTTGAGTTTGGTCTAGTTTAAAACCCCTCTCAAGAGCTGCCTATTCCTACCTGGAAGGGCATAGACAATTCCCTGAAATTCTCAAATAGTCTCTACCCACAAGGCAGACCTGAATTTTTGAGGCTATAAACCCAATGAATGGTTCCATACTTCTCAGGTATGTAGCTTCCAGGAATCACCAACCTCTCACATACACTTAACAAAGCCTTCTCATCAACAATAAAATAAGTGGCTTTCCTGGGGTTATCTAGTCACCATGTTTCAAGTGATATTTAATATAATATGATAAATAACTTTTGATACATTTAATGTCACTAAGTACCTGAGATAGGAAGGAATACCATTTTTTAAATAATCAGGTTTATTTTAATCATAAATACTTGATTTAGTAAAGTATTCTTCTGCTCAAGTATCAACAGTCTCTACATTTATTACATTGCCAAAATGTCTATAATTTGCTCTGGTGAACTTTGCCCTATCAAAGCAAAATGGATTCAAAAAACCCAAAAACAACAAAAAAATTAATTCAGTATTGTTTAAGCTTTTGAGTGTTTTTAAAATTACCTAGAAACACATTAATGACATATGTAAATATACATATATGTAAGGAGAGAACTCTGAAACCAATTCAGACATGACTTTCACATTTTGTGTAAAGAACTATTTTCTCCTTAACATATATGAATGATTGAGCATGTTTTTTAAATGAATGAAAACATACCCAAATCTGGAAGTGGATAATAAACATGAATTTTTAAATAAGATAGATAACCTATATATTTTAAAAGAATGCTATTAGCAAATACCCCAGTGAATCAAGTGTATTTGTAAATATTAATAGCATACATCTGTTCCCAAGCTGTATGTGGAGCCATAATTTATAGCCCTTAAGAATCAAATCAAAAAAACTGGCCTATATATATATATATATATATTATATATTATATATATATATATATATCATATTCTGTGATAAAATACAACAGCATACATTCAGCAATAGAAAAAGTTGAATTACTCCCTTCACACTGTTCCTGCTGATGTTTTCCCTCTAACTTAGTGAAGGCACTTCTTAGGTTGTCTTCTTCAGAAAGATTAATATTCATCATACAATATCTGACAAAGAGATCTAGAAATAGTATGTCATAAGTTATATTCTGTTTTGTGTGATATCAGGGACATCCCCAGGGTATTGACACATCCCTAGTCCCTATATCTATGTGAGGCTCAAACAATAATTTTTTCAAATAAAATCTAATAAATAAATAAAATAAAACAAGCACTACACAATCATTTTGAGTGAAGACAGATATGCAGCCAAATTGAAAGAAATGTTGCAAACAGACAATACAATCTGGCAAGGAGGGAGAGGAGAGAATTGGTTCTATCCTGTCATTGTTAATGATCACGTCTAATACTCATCAACTAAAATATTTGAGTCCTTTAAATACCCATGCTTTCCAACTTCACCTCTTCTCCTTACTGTGTCTTCGAGACTGCAAAATTTGGAAACCCAAAGCAAATTGTGCTGTAAATATAAGATCTGGACCCACTTCTCTGTTGTTTTATACCCTGGGGATAACTTTATGTACCTTCTCTTAGATATAAAGTATCTGTGTTTTGAGTTGTACTTGGGATATTATACACATGTCTAAAATATCAGATGTTAATTTGGGACCATAAAATACTTCAATGATCACCTAAAACTCTCTGTTGATTTCCCCATAGGACTTTTTCAACGAGCAATAGCTCAGAGTGGAACAGCCCTTTCCAGCTGGGCTGTTAGTTTCCAGCCTGCAAAATATGCTAGAATGCTGGCCACAAAGGTTGGCTGCAATGTGTCAGACACAGTAGAGTTAGTGGAATGCCTGCAGAAGAAGCCTTACAAAGAACTTGTTGATCAAGATGTTCAACCAGCCCGATACCACATAGCCTTTGGACCTGTGATCGATGGTGATGTAATACCGGATGATCCTCAGATACTGATGGAACAAGGAGAGTTCCTCAACTATGATATAATGTTAGGAGTTAACCAAGGAGAAGGGTTGAAGTTTGTTGAAAATATAGTAGATAGTGATGATGGTATATCAGCCAGTGATTTTGACTTTGCTGTTTCTAATTTTGTTGATAATTTATATGGATATCCTGAAGGCAAAGATGTTTTGAGAGAAACCATTAAATTCATGTATACTGACTGGGCTGATCGACATAACCCTGAAACTAGAAGGAAGACATTGTTGGCTTTGTTTACGGACCATCAGTGGGTAGCACCTGCTGTGGCCACAGCAGACCTTCACTCAAACTTTGGTTCACCTACATACTTCTATGCCTTTTATCATCATTGCCAAACAGATCAAGTTCCAGCTTGGGCTGATGCGGCTCATGGAGATGAGGTTCCCTATGTGTTGGGAATCCCCATGATTGGCCCTACAGAGTTGTTTCCTTGCAATTTCTCCAAGAATGATGTGATGTTGAGTGCAGTGGTAATGACATATTGGACGAATTTTGCTAAAACAGGGTATGTATTTGAGGAATGAACTTTGGTATAATTTTAATAACCAATACCCTTTTAAGTATTCTTGAAGAATGTGCATATGTATGTAAATTGTCTAAAATATTTTTGTTTTATATGTTTGTTATTTGCTCTATGATACCAGGGATTGAAAACAGGAACTTTCACATGCCAGAACACATATTCCATTACTATGCTATATTCCTGGTCCAATGTAGTAGATCAACACCAGGAGCATATTGACTTCATATTAGAAATTACTTCTATATTGTAGTGCTTCAAACAGTTATTATCTTATTACTTTTGAATTTTAAAAGTTTATTAAAAAATGCTTGTCTCTTTATTTTGTTGCTCCACGACAATATTACTTTGACTTCTCACTTGCATCGGCCAGAGCATCACTGTTTTCAGCAGTGATGAACATTGTTTCCTAGTACTTACCAGTTCATAATACTGTATGTGTTTTAAACATTCATCTTGGATTCTATGGATCTCACTGAACACAGAAAGGAATCTGAGCTTCTGGCAGCTTCATATAGACACTCCTGTGTAGGGTAGGTAAGCACTGTGACGACATACATGTCTTCAAATGCCAGTCCCAAATCCAGAATTCACTCTTCAATGAAATATTTCTGTTACACTGCCTCTGAGAGAAATCAAACATAATTATGTGAATATTAATTTATTAAATTTTTAAAATCTTTGTTTACTATGATGTAGTGTGTGTGTGTGTGTGTGTGTGTGTGTGTGTGTGTGTGTGTGCGCGCATATGTTATGTGTTCATGAGAAGAAGTGCTGTGGTGTACTTGTAGATGTTAGAGAACAACTTTCATGGAGTTTGTCCCTTCTGCCTACCTTTAGATTGTTTCCAGGGACTGAAGTCATGTTGGCAAGCTTTCACGGAGTTTGTCCCTTCTGCCTACCTTTAGATTGTTTCCAGGGACTGGAGTCATGTTGGCAAGCTTGTCCAGAAAACACAGCCACTGCTGAGCCTTTTTTCTGGACCTAAATAATTAAAATCACTTTGAATAGATGGTAGTTCATCTCTAAATGAACAGGGAACAAGAATGTAAAACTTACTAGCTTTGCATTATCATATATGTCATTTTTTAAACAAATTTCTAAATCAAGGCAAGTTAATGTTAAAACATAATCTAATGTTTTGTTGAGCTAACTCTTCAATTAGACATTAAACATAGTATTTTGACTAAGAAAAAGAGTAAATCATGTGTGTCCTCATAGGTTCTTTCTTGTCTTTCCATCCCTTTTCCTAGTGACCCAAATCAACCAGTTCCTCAAGACACAAAATTCATTCATACCAAACCCAACCGCTTTGAAGAAGTAGCATGGACCAGATATTCCCAGAAAGACCAACTTTATCTCCATATTGGATTAAAACCAAGAGTCAAAGAGCATTACAGAGCCAATAAGGTAAATCTCTGGTTGGAGCTGGTACCTCATCTGCATAATCTCAATGACATTTCTCAGTATACCTCGACAACAACTAAAGTGCCATCCACAGACATCACTCTCAGACCTACAAGGAAAAATTCCACGCCTGTGACATCAGCCTTTCCTACTGCCAAACAGGATGATCCCAAACAACAACCTAGTCCCTTCTCAGTGGATCAGAGGGACTACTCCACAGAGCTGAGTGTCACCATTGCAGTGGGGGCATCTTTGCTGTTTCTGAATATCTTGGCTTTCGCAGCCCTATACTACAAGAAGGATAAGAGGAGACATGATGTCCACCGGAGGTGCAGCCCTCAGCGCACAACCACCAATGACCTGACCCATGCTCCAGAAGAAGAAATCATGTCCCTCCAAATGAAGCACACTGACTTGGATCATGAGTGTGAGTCCATCCATCCACACGAGGTGGTTCTTCGGACCGCCTGCCCCCCAGATTATACCCTAGCAATGAGGAGGTCACCTGATGATGTTCCTTTAATGACACCTAACACCATCACAATGATTCCCAACACTATACCAGGGATTCAGCCCTTACACACATTCAACACATTTACTGGAGGACAGAACAATACACTGCCCCATCCCCACCCCCACCCCCATTCACATTCAACAACCAGGGTATAGCCAGATGAGAGAGACAAACTGATTTTTTTTCTGATGGAGTACAGTAAAAGATTATTGAAGATTCCTTGGCTTTCAACTTGGAAGACTCTCACTATTTAACTAAGGAGGAATATTATGTGAATATACATATCAAGAACTTTGGGGGTTTTGAAAAATCAATTGTATATAGATATACACACAAATCAACTTTAAAAAAACAAATTTCAATTGCTTGAAGCAATTGTTCTGAATGATACTTTTTCATTCACATTCAAGAATTAATTTGTTGAAGATTTAAGTTGCATACCGGAGTTAGGCATGTGGAACACCAAACAGGAAAGTACTGTGTCTGAAATACTTAAAAAAACAAAAACAAAAACAAAAATAAAATCAACTATGAATATGCACAAGGGACACACCAATGGAATGTCAGATAATTTCCGTCAGTTTTCCTTTGGAGCCCTTTCATTGTGTAGACCATGTTTGCATAAGTACACAGAGCACTGACGCTGTTAATGACATAGCAAAGGCTCATGCTGATGATTGCCAGTAAAACAAAGAAGTTTAAAGACTGGCAGGTACAATGTTATCACATAAGTGCTGTCAGTACTAAGTCGTGGGATCAAGGAGACTGGATATTTTTAGCACGATGTGCATGATAATTTATATGCTTGGTGGCTGTGCTGCTGATTAAGCCGTAATTAAAATTCTTCTCATCCCATTGGAGTTTTTAATAGGAGCTTCCTCCACCAATTGGCAGAACCCAAAGAAGATTTTATAAGGGGCAAAAGTAATTACAATACAATAATTCGCAGTAGTTTCAATAATAGAGGGAATAGGTATTAAAGTCTATGGAGAAACTATAGGTACAGTGGTGAATACTCACTGATATGAGTCCCAGAAAATTTCCTCTGAGTTTAATGTTCTTTTCACTCCCATATAAGTAATTTATAGAATACACTCTAACTGGACACGTGTTAGCTGTGGATCTATAATTTGCTGCAGGTTTCTTACTCTGAAGTTTGTCCCTTCGGTAAGGTGAAGTGCCACAGTTTTTCAGGGTGTAAGGATGCCCCAATAGTACCGCTCTGATTACAGTTCTCAGTTAATTGATTTACTCATGTTGCATGACAAAATGTTTACTACTAATAATTCAATATAAAGTTCAGTCCCTCTTCACTCTGCTTCTCTGTCTCACTGAGGTTCACTTGACTTTCCTCATGAGATCTCAGTAGAGGACAACGTAGGTACAGAACCTAGGGGAGTCAACAGCTGGAGGGTTTGTCTTTCACACATGTGCAATTTCAATGAATTATCTAAGACCACAGGAAACTCTGAATCCCCTGTTGTTTACCAGTAATCTCAGTATACCACAGACCTTTCCAAATGTTTGTATATGTAATCAGATGTACATTTATATTAAAAATTGAGATGGACTTAAAGAGCACATCCTGATAAATGATTTCTCTCTTATCTGTACTATATTTCTATTAGACTAAAGTTATGTGATTTTTTTTTACCTTTTTTCAGATGACTAGCAATTTTGATAGTTTGTAAGATAATGCAAAGGACTTTCTCTGACTAACTGAAGTAACAGAAACTTTTCTTTCCAGCTACTCTTTTTCAAGAATTGAAAGCTTATTATACAAAAGAAAACACTTGTATACTACTTGATGGGAAGGACTTTGTGTATCTATCTCGACCACGTCAGTGGTCCTATGGTGAAATAAAGATAATCTGGATAATGATGATTAGTCAAATGCTAAGAGACATGGTCTTTGCTCATTAAAGAGCTAAAATGTTTATTGCTGTTTTGTCTTTTATTTTGTTTTTCCAAAAAAGAAATCTAAAACAAAAGAAACAAGACTGTCTCAGAGTCATTTTTCTAGAACGGTAGGGGTTTTGAAGACACATAGGCAGCTGTAGAAAACACAACTGTGTATTGAAAAGCAGGTCTCATTTCAAATGAGACCCTTGAAATTTCAGTGCTACTAGCTTAGAAATTCCAGGAACTCACAAAAAATATTACCTTTGTAAATTTAAATACTCCTTCCCTGAGGCATCATGCAAACATAGTGCCCACTGTTTTCGCTTAAAAACACGAGTTCTCTTGTTGCTTACCAGGGGGAAAATCCATTGGAAAAGAGAAATAAGGGTACAGCATGTCATGAAGTAAGGTATCTCTGCTCATAATACAGGAGTGGTCAAACTGTCAATCATTTAAAAAAGTGTTCTCCTTCAAGAGAATTTGAAAGTGCTAAGAAAGATATTGAGCTAACACTAAAAGATAAAAATCTACTTCAAGAAACTTATATGATTATAGCTTCTACTCCAAAGTACTAAATATCAATAAAATGTTAAGAATTGTTCCACTTAAGTACAATTCTCTGTCATAAGCAAAGTCTTCAAAGTCCGGAGTAGTCTACTCACCATTGTTGACTGACCTGACCATGCTTTAGACTGTGAGCTGCCACTGTAAACACAGAAAAAGAACTGTGTAGCGGCTGAAGCGCTGTTTTATCACCCAACTGTCTCTTACTGTGTTAGGCAAACAGTAAGATCAGAAATAGAAGTGACAGAAAATAAGTGGTGAGTGACTGCTTTCACACTCTAATATTAATTACTTCCCTTGGAAAAATCATCCTGTTACGTTGTAGTGCTTACTCCATTTCCATCTCACTGTAAAAACATAATACATTTCTCTGATGTCTACTTTTTGACAGTACAGTTCCTGCTCCATATTAATTGAGGGAAATATTTTTAAAATAGACCATAACCTGATTGTTTTCTGAAACGGAAGGAAGACAAAGCAGTTAGCTTTTAGGGCTGCCCTCTGGGGATGTGCAAAGGGATTGCAAAGCAGTATGAGGAGCTAGTCAAGTTTGTTACTACAGACTGACTTCCAGAACATGAAATGATGTCTTGCATTAACTATTTGCAAAGCTGAAATACAGTTTTTAAATGAAAAAAAAAATTGACATTTTTATTCAGTTTTATCTAACGTGTTTGGATTGTATTTGTCTAGAAGATAATTTCCCTTGGGGGAAAAGTGAATACTAAAGTTAAATAAATGTCTTAGCATTATTTATCAATTCAGATTTTCTTGATTGAAATTAAATAGCAACAGAACAAGGATAGGATTCTTAGAATTTATACAGACATCAAGCCAAAATAAATTTTTGCTGTTTTGTTTTTACATAATTTTGCCAACATTCATCAAAAGATTTATGTTGTTTTCAGTATGAGCTTAGAAACATTGAAATGACACATTTAATAGTTCAAATGTTATTGAATACATTGAATGTGAATAAAATCTAGTTTGTTATAGATATTTAATAAATTTGAACACTGCCTTTCATGTAATATGGAATATAATTTTCTGAATCATCACAAATATCCAATTTAGAGACTTTTTTTCAGCTCAAAGCAGAAATTATTTCATTCATTTTAAATCTAAAAGTTGATCTAGAATATATTTTAATGCCGACCATTGGACATATAGAAAAGGAAAACAACAATGCAAACTTCAAAAGAATTTCCAACCATATGTGATACTGGGGTATCAATGCACATAGTGTGATTCTATTACAGAAGTGGACCACCAGCACTCAATGCTGTACCTGTGCTCACAACAGCAGTGATGCACCTGTGGGTGTAGTTGTTCTGACACGCATATGACCATCAGGGAGGATGCAGACAACGGGCAGCAGGCCCAGTTTCTGAATCACTGGTGTGGTTTCTTTGGCAAGTCTCACTGAAGTATTTTCACAAGACCAGACGATGAATGAAATTCCTCAGAAGCTGTCAATAACCATGACAGCCCTTTGATGCTTGTAATTTTGTTTACTTCTGTGTGATTGGTTCAAACTCCTGACCTTTTATTTCCAGTAATTAGTTGTTATAGACTATCACTTTTTAATGTGAGTGAAAATTTGATAATTTGGTTATACTTGCTCCCAAATAAATTTAATTAATGAGCACTTCCCTGCTGAGATTTTGTTATCATTCGTTTGATTATCCTGACCAGCTTTACTGTTGGAGCACTTGTCTTGGTTTTTCAGTCACTATTTACTATAGCCACAGTAAAACAGTGAGGGATGCCTCCTTCCCACCTCTGGCACTGGGCACGGTAACAACAAATCTCCAAATTTTCCTCAAAACTCTAAGCTTCCTAATGAGGTAAAACATCGGGCTAACTTGACTCTTTTCTATCAATTATGATTTGGTTTTAATCTAGTTAGCTGTATTTTTGTTTAGGCCTGAAATCAATTCTATTTGTTTAGCATTACAGAAAACACAGACTAGAAAACCATTGTACAGCACTCAAGTGCCTTCTCTTTCTGGTATTTATTTAGAAAACATCATTTTGTTTTTAAATTTGTACCCTCTGGTAATTTCATTTAAAAATGTAAAATACAATGACTATGGCATCAGTTGCTAATAAGGGAAATTTATTTAGAAGTCATGAATTTAATTACTTGATTTTTGTGTCATATCCAAGAGGTCCAAATAACCCTTTGGAAAGATTGAGGTAAATTTTTGGAATAAATGGTAATTATTTAGGCATCTGATTTTAATGGTGCTTAAGAATGAAAACGTACAATTCTAACAGACTTTAAAATTTTTCCAGAGCCTGAGGTAGTCACACACACCTTTATTCGCAGTGCTTGTGATGTAGATGCAGGCAGATTCTGTGAATTCCAGGCCAGCTTGATCTACAATAGCCAGCTTCAGGCCAGCTAGGGCAACATAATGAGACCTTGTCTCCAAAAAAAATATTTCAACTGGGTAAAATTATTTTAGATGGAAGTAATTATTATGAATGAACAGAAATTCGAGTCATATGTAATTTTTCTAGTCATTTATTACATCATGAATGGTATACATACTCTAAATACAGTGTGTGCTATAGTATATACAAGATGGCCCTTTCAGATGCCTGTCCTAACAAGGAACACGTTATATCTTCTAAATATGTACAAATGAGGCAGGAATCAGTCCTCTGCAAAACAGCAAGCCAATGCTCTTGCACTCTAATTTAAATGATAACAATTGATGATTTAAAGAAACTGTAAATGTCCAATAACAAAACTCAGCAGCTGAAATTTAAACAAAGAGACATATGGTATTTCCAGAATTGATGACTGTTATGTGGGATAATTAAGAGGATTCTAGTGTTCTTCATACATTCCTTCTGAAGTCATATTGGTGGGAATGCATCAGCCATCAGGTGGTCACTACTCCATTTGTGTTTGAATATCCATAGTTCTCACTAGAAATTCATTTGCTATCATGAGTAAATACCACCATGGTATCCAAGTTGTGTTGACTGAAACATCAGGAAATTATCTTCTGTTTGGCACACGCTAAGATGAATGTGCCCTTAAAACATTGCCCTCTTATCCACAGATGCAGGAACCATTCTAACTTTTTGAAAATAATAATATTTATGATCTGTTTAGTACTTAAGTGAGTTCAGGGAAACATATTGAAGAGTAGAGTTTGAGAACTTGGAATTGGCCTGTTGTGAAAACAGACAGGCAAATATAAAATGTTCATGGAAAGACCAGGAAGTAAGAAAGAAAAAGATCTTTAAATTTTAAATTAGTGATTCTTCTCCAAATATTTTAATGAATGTATTGTGGTTTGTGAAAAGGAGAGCATCTGAACCATGAGTCTATTGAGATTAAGACTAAAGATTCAAAAGAGAGAAGGAACCGAAAGTCCTAAATATGTTCATAAAGTTTCATGTAAAAGCGGCATTTTCCAGTGAAATACTGTTATTTTAAGTACTTCCTCCTGCCCCAGTTCTGGAGCTCTGCCCTGAAGATCTTTGAGCTAAACCATTTCTATCTCTCCTGAAAATACTGCACTTCATTCTGAGAGAAGCCTTCCTCTACATGGTGACAGGTCTCCTCCACTGCTGCTAGCCCTTCTGTTTCCATGACTTTCCAATTTACTATTTATACCTACTTCTTCAGTGGTGTTGAGTTGTGGGGGAGGAGTCTTAAAATTAGATTTAATGGATACTGGCTTCCTCTGTTCTCAGGCCAGTTAGAAGCCAGTGAACATCACTCAACAATAACAGGTATTAGTCATTCACTTTTTCAGCAAATTATGCTCACCATCATTCATTTCTTCAGCAAATGATACCCACTGTATGTTAGACAAGTTGGGAGGTGCTATATTCTAAGTCCAATTCTGGGACCTACTAAACTATGATTATCAAACTTGGAATGAATTCAAGCATGAGGACAGATAGAGATAATTTTTTGGTGCTATCCAGGATAGCAAAGTATTGCCCGTTTTCTCCATCTTGTGTGTTTCAAAATAGTAGAATAGCACTTCCTGGTTTCACTACATCACCAGTTAAATTTCACTGCACAAGTCTGTCAGACAAGTGGATGATGGTCATCTTTCCCAGCTTAATATATTGGCCATATCTGCACCCATAATCTGCTATAAGACTCATCATGGAATATGGCGTGTCCAGTTTAAGGCCCACCTCTCCTTCAACTCCTAACAGACACTTTATCCTCTGCCTTAGTTCGAGCTTGTAGCTGTGAACTCTTGTCATTAGACATCCACCATGAATCTATAATTCTGATCTAGTGACTGCCTGTTTAGAATTCTGTCCTTGTGTTTATATAGGCTTTTTTTCTCTTTTGATAGCTATAAAAGCTCCATGACCCAACTTGTCTGTAAAGATTTGAAGATGAATATCATATCTTCCATGAATTGTTCTCTCTTCAAAATAAAATTCCTCATATCTCCCCGCAAAAGTACCTAAATCCTTTACCATT